AATCTACCAAATGTATATATACTGAATAAAGGATTAGAGAACAGTGCTTATGGCATTAATGGCTGAAACCAAAATCTGCATTTGTCTCTTGGCATAATTAAAATAAAACTAGTTGTATCCTGTAATAAAGTAAAACCAGCATGTGAGTAGGCTTCAGCTCACACTTTAGATGCTAAAATTATCAGAATTCAAATTATTGTAACTAAGATGATGTTGTTAACGCAAAATAAGCTAGTGAGCAGTGGAGGGTTTTTTTTTTTTTTTTTCCTTAACCATATTCTTTTAGGCATACTTTACGTGGTGGAATGCAATGCAATATGTGTAGAGATTTTACCACACAAGTACCTTCATCCCTTACATCCTACTCCATTCCTTTTTTTGAAATGCAAAAACCATAAATGTATCATCAAATTTATAGATTTCAGATAACTACACTAAAAAGCATGGGATGGAGAAAACACTTTACTCTTGAGGATTTTTGCTCTCTTGGGTTGCATACAGCCAGATTCATATTACTAAGACGTTTTTAATAGCTTTATAGTCTGGTCCAATTTTTCCAAAGGGTAAAAATGTACCTTTTGAAATATTTACCTGATATAAATAAAAACTTTCATGCAGAAAAATGTTTCCCAAATGGAAGTTAATGCACCTCAAATATGTGAGAAATTTGCTTCTAATTGTGCAATGTTTAGTAAAGTTTCCTTCTCACTTTTTTATTATGAAATTTGGGAAAACATATTAATGAAATCTAACATCACTTTGTCAGTCAATGCTGGAAACCAACAGATCTCAAGGCTTTAATGACAATGAAGATTTTTTTTTTTTTTTTAAGATTTTATTTATCTGACAGACAGAGATCACAAGTAGGCAGAAAGGCAGGCGGAGAGAGAGGGAGGAAGCAGGCTTCTGGCTGAGCAGAGGGCCTGATGCGGGACTCGATCCCAGGATCTGGGATCACGAACTGAGCCGAAGGCAGAGGCTTTAACCCACTGAGCCACCCAGGCGCCCCTGAAGATTGTTTTTTAACAATCTGTTTTAAGAAAGTTTGCCTTGATTTTGGCTTTTAGTTAGTCAAAGTGATTTCTCACTACAGGCCTGTATACATTTGCAGATTTTGCATCTTGTGTGGCTGGGCAAGAGGGCAAGGGAATTTCTGCTGTTGAAAAAGCTGTGATTCTTCCTTAGTATCAGGAAGTGTACTTCCAACACATATCAATCTAATATTTCCCCCAATGCAACATAGGGCCATAAACTTGCAGAAATAATCTAACAACACTGTTAACTCCAGTGGCTCCCTGTTGCCTGCACTTCTGTGTGATTCCACCTGATTTTATAGCCTTGTGGCCACCTTCCCCAATGCAGTTTTTGTATTGCCTGATACGTCTTTGGACAAGCTCTTCTTTCTCCTCAAAAATGCCCTTCCTCTCTGACTCTCCTGTCACATTCCTGTTCAGATGGGCCTATTTAATGAGTTTCCTCCATATTCCCAGAAGAGTTCATTTCAATGCCCTCCCTCCCAACCCCCCATTTTCCCATGACAGCACAAAGGACAAGGTAATATAATACTTCTGAGAGGCAATATCGTCTAGTGGCTAAAGGTGAGGAGTTGGAATAGCATTTGAATTCTGGCTCTATCACTCATTAACTGTGTGGACTTGGGCAAGGCACTTTAACCTCCAGGAGACTCAGTTCCCTCACCTACAAACAACGGTAATGCCTACATTACTGGTTTGTTGTGAATAAATGTTCCTAGCGTAATGCCGGTCATCACATGATGAGGACTTGATATCCTAGCATTACTATGAATGGATAAAGAGCAAGCCCAAAGATGGCAGATAAGCATATTATACTCTTGTTATATGAAGAGTTAACATTCAGAGTAGAATCTGAAAGTGCAGCCATCTTGAAATCATGTAGATTTCCTTTGAGAAAGCACACTAGGAACTGTCAAGAAGTGGCAAACAAATAGTAAGCTCAGACACACATTTTAAAAGAGCTGACAAGGGCTGCTTTTAGGATAGCTCATCTTTGGTTGTGACATATGACAAACAAAAAGAAATTGGACGTTGAACAAAGCCAGGAATGGAAGGCAACATGGAGATATGCCTTAATTTCCCTGCAAAGAGATTCTGGCTGGTGGTTTGGAGACTCCTAGTGCTACTTGTTACAGATTTGAGACAGTTACACAGTGGAGAACAATCCAATATCAGCTTAGATGAGCAAATTTCAAATTGAGAGCCCACTTTATTTAAAATGTCTTTCCATTATTTTTTATTTGAAATGTGAAATAGTTCTGGAAAAAAGCAAAAAATTGTTATGGAATTCATTTTCCTTCCAGGAAAGAACATTAAAAAAAAAACAAAGTGCAACTATTGCCAGATGAACACCTTGTCTAAAACAAATGAGAGATTTAATGCATTGCAAAATGCCACTTGGAGCACCTCCTTGGCTGAGAAAATCAGCTAAATAATACTTCCTTAAATGAATGTAACTATCCCCATGTGTATCAGTCTCAGACCCGAAAACTCTCTGGGTACTTTTCCTGACCAACTTGAAGAGAAAATTCAATTTACAATTGCTTGTTTTTAAATAAATCAAAAGCCACTGAAGGCCAAAAAGAAAAAAAAAATTCAAATGATCATTTATATCTCTTGTACTATGTGTTTCCAAAGAATGAAGAGACAAAAAACCTATCCCTGCATTTATAGAAAATTAAGAAAAACATTTTGAGAGAGAGAGAGAGAGAGAGAGAGTATGTGTTAATGCTCCTTTGTTCAACTGAGCTGGGTTTTAAAAATTCTTGGACTGGCTTTTCACCTTGCAAGAAAGCAAGGTAGCAATTTTTCTTAAGGATTTGGCAGTGATGTACTCAAGTGCTTAGCTCTGTCCTTCTGGCAGGAAGACACTGGACTGGGGTGGGGGAAAAAGGGCCACAAGTAACTAGGAGGAGAGGAGGCTGCTCAGAACCTGCCATTCAGGGCTGATGGCAGCTTTTTACAAGCTGTGTTAAAAGATGAGTGTGGTGGCAGCAGCTTATGGGTGTGCCAAAGAAAATGAGTCCACGTGCTAAACTCTGGCATGTGCATGATAGGCTGCCAGGGCATGGCATAACCCCCAGGCAGACTTTTGATGTCCTGCCCCAGAAAATGAGTAAGCCTGTTCCCATTTATTCCATGAGGATGGTGAGTGGCTGGATGTTTCAATGTTATAAAAAGTGCTGGTACAGAAATTTGCCATTTGGCTTACTTTCACTTAGTCATTTTTCAGATTAGAAACACCTGAGTGGAGAGCATCAGCAGTTTAATATTCATACCTATCTAGGCCATGCAAGCAGTTGCAGAGTACAACCCATTTGAGGGTAAGCAGGCAATGCTATCTGATCACATTTAGGTTCTATGTTAATGAATGAGATACATGAAATAGGACACTTCTTTATCTTTCCATATAAGAGAGTTCCCGCAAAGGTCTGGATGATAGAACATAATGTATGTTTTATTTTAACCCTTTTTCTATTTTATTCTCTCTGCTAAACTGTAAACAATTGGTGGGGTTTAGTTAAGCTTAAAAAGTGACCATACAATTACAGACTAAACTTCTTAAATTCACAAGAAACTCAGTGAAAAGTTGCTCCTCTGTTTCTTTTTACTGCTTCCACTCTTCAAACCCGCAGCATAAGACCCCTGGTTCTATACAACTTATCCAAAGCTTTGAGCAGTTCAAGAGCCCTTTCACCCTTCACTAGTGAATTCAGTGCGATTGTAGGAGAAAGACGTTCTTTCCTTCCCTTTTTACTTAAAGGAACACACTAAACCTGAATAGACTCCAGGTTAGATTGGGGGAGGAGTGATTTTTATTTGTCTAGCATAGCTATTGACATATTCTTGAAAAGAATATTTAAAAAGACAGAAAAAAGGAAGATAGGAAGAAAGAAAGGAAGGAAATAAAGCACTTAAATATGGTATTGAAGGGCACATTGGTAACAATTTAATTTCTAAGAAGAAAATTTTATAGAAAAAAATGGCCTAACATTTTTGTCTTCATCACACATAATAGAAATATAAACTAAAAGGACATCTGGAAACTAACATTATTTAGCAATCAGAGAGCAAAAATCCAAAGCATTGATGTTTTGATGGAGACAAACATAACAGATTCACAAAGAAAGCTGTAACTTATTGAAGAAAAAAAAATTCCATATGCATTTTACCTTTTGGGCAGTTATAGCAAAATTCTATTTCAGAAGCCCTTTGTAATATGAAACTCACTGTAGATAAGATACAACACGGAGATAGTCTGTTTTGCAGCAGCAGGAAATCAAATTGGTTCCAGAAACTAAGTTACATGACAAATGGTTTAATAGTATTGCTAGGATTGGAGAGCTTGATTGAATTATTTTTCATAATCATTAAAAAAAAGATTTTGAAATAACTTTGCATAGCAGTTCAGATTTTTTTTTTTTTTTTTGAGGGGGAGATGTTGCAGAGGTGGGAAGACTCTAATTTTATTGGCCTTTTAATTAAAGTGTTATTATTTGTTACCAAAATTCAAAAGCTCACTGGTGATTTATTTATTGTTGTTTGAAAAAAAAATTCAAACACGATATTTAATTTAACACAGTTAATATCTTTTGAAGATTAAACAGGTTAACAAATACAGAATATTTATTATCATATCTAAGTTATTTTTAGCTTTAATCTCAGCAGCAATCAGCCTTTCTTTATTTATAAAAGCATCTGGAAGAGTTCATTAAGTCTCTGGGCAGTCTTTATTTTAGGAAAGACTTCCAAACAGTTAGTAAGATGTATCACTGACAAAATAACCCAGCAACTAATACACGTAGGTGAAATGAAATCATTCTCCTGACTGAAGTCAGGAACAAGTTAAATATCACTTAGACCACAGCACACGACTACAGAGATTTAGGAGAAATCATACTTAAATAGGATGTGACTAGACGTTTAGGACTATTTTCAGAAAACTTTTTCCCCTTCAGTACTTACAGTCTTTGAAGACTAGAGCGGGGTCTCTGTGAGGCAAGACTTGGGCAATGATGTGTCTCAGGGATTCCAAGGTTCTGTCCATCTTGGGTCTGCCTGTGTGAGCCTGCTGCACAGTGTCCTCATGCCTGAATTCTTGCAGTCCTGGACTGAATTTGTGCAGCTCATTGATGCACAGGATTACCAAAGAATCCCTTTTAACATCTGCCAATCAGACATTTCCCAGAATCTAAAGACCCCTCAGGGGGCCCTCCTCCCAGGCTCACTTATCTTTGTTGTAGGCTGAGCTAATTAGCTCTAAAGGCTGGCTGACAGGCTGGTTCCCATTGCTTCCTTCTGTTAAACACACCCACCTACAGGCTAGCAGGGGAAGCTCGATAATCATGGGACCAGATTTCCTCTCCAACCAGATTCTGCCTGAATGGTGTACGGCTTTCTGACTTGGGTATTTCTTTTGGTCCCCCACCAGTATAAAATCAAGAAGGTTATTTCTCAAGGAAATTACTTTAGTAACAAAGGAATTTCCAGCTCAGGATTTCTAGTTAAGAATTAGTACAACCTAAATTCTTTGGTAAAGAAGTGCTATAAAGATTATGAAAAAAAGAAAAAAAAAAAAAAGAAAAAAAAAAGATTATGGATATCGCCAGGGACCAGATTATGCTTTGTATTTGAATTCAGAGGTTCTCTATGGGAACCAAGTTTAAAATACCCCCCTCCACCCAAGTTATAGTAACTTCTGAGGGTAGTAGTAAGTAAAACCTTTGCACTGTCTTTTGGCTTGCCTGAGAATGTTTGTTTTCCTATTAATTAATTCTTCAAGGCAATCATTCCTAGGATTGAGTTCAGTGAAATCTGATATCACTCACTTCCTTTTAGTTCATGATAACTCCTTCTATTAAAACTTTCAGGATAAGCAAAATATGTCTTTTTCTAAAGATTATAGTTACTAAAATATCTTAACAGATTTTAGTACCTTTTTCTAATTCCCGTACCACTCACAACGAGGTTAAATAGTTTTTCCACAGGAGACATAAATATAAGTCATGGGATTCCATTGCAGTAATTAGGATTTATACCAGAATTGACTTTTAATGGCTGTGACCTATGTTAGTTACTGAAGACTTGCTGAGGACCACTCTTTTACTTAAAATATTTTTCCAGAGTAGGCACAAGAGAGTGCCCTCCAATGTTCTTTCCAATTCTGAGATTCCATAATTATGTGGTATATGATTAACTGAAAACAGTTCTTTAAAGACAATATAAAAGTAAAATGTTTTGCATGTGATAGGCTTCTTCTGCTAGTTGGTAGAAGGGTGGGCTTGATAAAAGGAAACAGAAGAAATGGGGCTATACTAATAATTCTTATCATAATGACTATTACTTAGTAAATGCCCCCAAGAGTATATGTTACGCACAACAGAGACATGGGGCTGCCCCATTGTGCAGATACTATTAAAGAAAGAACTTGAAAGAAGTAGCACTTCATGTTAAGACACTTATTTAGGGTCCCAAAGTGTACTTTATGTGGGCTGAGCCGAATAAGAAATCATCAGTATCCTTGCCATTCATGAGTTTATAAATTTAAGAGAGAAACTAGATAAATGCCTATTATTATACAGTGATTGGACACAACATATAAATGAACATAAGTACTTTCAGTGTCATGCTAAATTGGAAACCAGAATATTTAAGGTTCCCATTAGAGAAACAGAAATTCTCAAAGGAATGAGACTGATAATATAAAAATTGGTTGATACTCAGATTTCAATCAATAATGGACTTTTTAATGGGCATAAATTTAATTTTAGGAGTATATAAAAATATTTTGGTTGTGTCGTATGGTGGAAAGAACACTGAATTTTATATTAGTAAGATCTAGGATTTGATTTTTGTTACCTCTATGACTTTGAAGAAATTACTCATCTCTGGGCTCAGTGTCCTCACCATTGGCCCCCCTAGAAAATTAGGGAGATGAGTTGGATGCTTTCGTTCAGATTTAACATCTATGATACTGTGGCTATATTACAAATGACCACAAATATTATCACACATTTTCTAGCCTTCTGAAAATACACTTATTTCCTAAAAGGGGGACTGGTCTTCAAATAGATCACTTAAAATTCCACAGTAAACCTAATATCCCTTCAACAAATGAGAGATACAAATTAATAGGGTCAATTCAAAGATACTCATCACTAATGCCAACTAGGAGTTTGTTAAGAAAATTAATCTTCAACTTCCCCAAGATTTTTCTAAAGAAGGCAAACTGTAAGAGTCTGCTTAGAGAACTACAAAACAGCTTTGCAAAGATAATTCTATAAAAATATCATGATCTTTACTGAGTTATATTTTAAGAAATGAAAAAAGAATTACAGAAAGGGTACTGTACAACATTCCAGTTGGATAGTATAGTTTCTTCTTTCAGTTCAGGTCCAAAGCTTCAGCCGAAGTTTTCCAAATCCTCTGATAAACATTTTTCCTTGTCCACCCATAAAGACTTCTCACCCTAGAGTTCTGAGGTAAGACATAAAAAACCAACTCAGTGGCTTCTCCCGGTTCTCTGTCTTTGATGTAGAAAGTACCTGACGGAGTTGGCAAAGCTTAAGAAACCCCTATGCAATATGTCTATTTCATATAGACTCTATGGTTCACATGCTAGATTTCACTGTCAACCTCAACTACCTGTAGTCATAGGCCATTAAAAAAACTCAAGTATTAAAACAAGGGTAGATGACTACAGTGAAAACCAAAATGATGTCTTTACAAATTCTGTATTATTCAGGAGAGTGAGAAATGGCATCCAACTGACATATTTAGTATTCAAAACTTTTACCCTATGGTAAAAGAGGAAGGCTCAGGGCAACAGCATACTTACTAAGCTCCCAGGGAGTACAGAACTCTGAGAATGTAAGAAATCAAGGTGGTATATTTTACACCATTTCATGCACAATGCAACAAAAGAGTCTATGGAAACAGGAAAAGAAAATTCATTCTTATCATTCCAGTAATATTTTTGTTGTTAAGTGGCTCATTAGAGGCACAAAAGGGGTAAGGAAGTGGTGGGGGGGGTCACCAATTGAAATAACATCCATCATGTTAAAACACATAATAAATGTATCAAAGTATCATCTTTAGTTAAAAACAGGAAAGAACCTCTACTCTTCTCCTTGCCTCCCCACTTCATGATCTGCTCTGTCCTGGAGGAGGAGGCTGGAATCAGTAAACCAGGAGACTGGGCCTGCAGGTGTGGCTGTAGTGAAGAGGGTGAAATTTCAGGTGGGCAGCATGCAGACTCCACAAAAAGAAGAGGCCTGCAGTAACTGAGCCTGAGCCAAATCATAGCTACTCATCTGTAGGAAATCAAGTGACGGAGGGGCGGAGAAAACATGGATTGAAACTTAGGAAGACTATTTTTCCTGAAATAATTTCTTCACTTACTTGCTAATGTTTTGATTCTTAAAAATTTACAATTTAAGATAAAGCAAATAAAATGAAAAAGAATTAAAGTTAAATAGAGAGAGTATACCCTCTACAAAAACAATGGGAAATGACTGATAGCAGCTCCTTCCAGATTCCAATGGGAGTTGGGTGAAGGGAGGTGGAAGGGCCTAAGAGCTGATTGGCAAAAGAGGGTCAGGGCTGTGAGCAAGATTGTCTCTAGGGGTATGTTGGAGGGTGAAGAAGGGCAAGGCCAGGAAGAAACTGACTTTGCAGAGGCAATAACTAAAGGTTTAGTGTCAGCTAAACAAAGCCGAAGAGACTAGTAGGAAGAATGAATGGCTGGTTAGCATCAACTTTTTTTTTTTTTTTAGCATCAACTTTTTAAACTCTCCACTGGGAAAGGACCAATGAGATGTTTGATTCAAGGTATTTATGAGAAGGTCAGTTAGAAAAGCAACCTCAGACAAAATTCAAAAAACACAGGTAACATAAAATAACTTTATCTCAGACATTTTTACCTTGATATTTCACTACATTTAGGAAATCATCAATAAGTATTAATCTGTTTAATTAACTACATGAACAGATAGAGAATTAATATCCCATTTACAGGTTAGAAAAATGTACATCTCATTTTCATACAATATTACAAAAAATGCTTTCTTAAAATAATATCCTTCCCCCCCAGGTAAAACTGCTAGTGAACTGCTCTTTAAGGTTGTCCAGGCATTCAGAATCAACACTCTTAACCAGAAAGCACAATGAAAGTGTACCTGTTTTTTTGAACCTTCCCATGCCTTCTTGACATTTTTTTTTTTTTAAGGTTTTATTTTACAGAGAGAGAGAGAAAGAGCACAAGCAAGGGGAGCAGCAGAAGGAGAGGGAGAAGGAGGCTCCCAGCAGACCAGGGAGCCCAATTTGGAGCTCCATCCCACGACCCTGAGATCATGACCTGAGCTGAAGCCTTGACTGAGCCATCCAGGCGCCCCTTCTTGACTGTTTTATGTAAGCAATTATGCAGCCCTGTCTTGGTGTTTGGCCTTGGAAGAAAAGTCAGAATTGATTCTTTTAAGAAATACTTTAGAGGCCAAAGATCTCACCAGAGGAGGTTTTACTAGTTGACAGGTTAAATTTTCAGGATAAACTCAAGAGATACTTAAAGGTGAGAGAATTTGAATATTCATTTACAAGATTAGAGACAATGACGCCAAGCCCTTGGGTCATTAGATATGTGTTCTGTGAAAATTGAACTCATTACTTTAACTGTGGCTGGCTGATATCCAGCATAATATATATTTTGGAAAGAATAGCTTAATGTTTTGTTTATGGAGTGAATTTTTCTAGTGGACTTTATAATTATATTTTCTCTCATATAGGGTTATCTAATTATTGGTTCTTCTTTCTCTCCTTACATTTCCTCAAAGGAACCATCTCCCATGCCCCCCAACCCTCACCTTCTGCCTGGGACAGAAGTTTACTTTGCTGGGTGCTAAAACAAAAACAAAACCAACTTTATACAAGTTGTGACTTTATGTGATCAGATTGATTCTAAAAGGTGTCTGAACTTCAGCTGAGTCTTTGTTGTATAAAGGAAGGGCATGCTGAGGGATGGGACACATGTTTATATAGGCTAACTAAAGCTACCTTTTTTTTTCCTTTCTTTTGATAGTCATAATTCTGGGGGGTATGAGTTCTTTGGAATGTTTAAGTCTTTGCAATAGTAATAAGCAAAGTAAAATGAAAACCTAGACTATGAGAAAAATTAATAATATTAGATTAAAACAAACCTGGGAAGAATGTTTACCGGTTGTAAATAAACAACTTAAACCTGAGATTCGTTGATGGATATGTTAGGTTCAAGCAAGCCAGTAATTTCATAGCTCCATATATTTTAGATGAAGGTTTCTGTAAAGATTGCATCATTAGTATACTCTTAATTCAATTCAGGCTATATTTATGGATAGCTTACATTAAGATAAAAGCCTTACGCCCATCCATTTCACACTGTAAACTATAATTTCCATTTCACTTCCTATACAGTTAACTACCAGAGTACTGCACTTAGCATGCATCCTGTTGACACAAAAGAAATATTTATTTTCAAAAATTTGTTTAAAGGAAATAGAAAACTGTATAGAAAGGGCCCCATTTTTCCACAAAATGAAAACTACAGCAAGACCAAGTTAGAGAATAATATATTCTTCTCATCTTCTCCAGGTACCTTAGTAGCCTTGAGATCAAAGAAAAAAGTACTACTCCCCACCCTACCACCCTACTCCCCTCCCACTCCACCATGAAAAACCAGAAGTGTTCCACTCAGGGATTCAGTCTATTGAGATGGGTTTTCTTGGACCTGTGAGAAAAATGAAAGGTTAATCATGGAAAAAACAAATAAAAACCATTTTCTAAAAAGGGAGGAAATTTTGTGGGGGCTAGGACTCAAAACCTTGTCCTGGTTGTATGGGACTGTCTCCTCTCAAACCTCCATACCAGGAAGACGAGTCAAAGCTTGTGGACCTTGGTGACTTTGCAGTTCTAAACCACTTGAATACTCTGCTTCTTCTACCTTTTGCTTTTCTGGTTATGTATCAATTCCATCTTTTCCTCCCTCTCGTTCCCAACCCCATTTACTCCAAGTGACTTTGGGCGAGTAATTTTACATAAAAAATGCTTTCTCACCTCTAAAATAAAAATAAGGTAATCAAGAATCTCTATACCTCTAGTATAATAGGATTCTATCCCAGATTTTCTTAACCTTAATACTTAAGCTGACTGTGCAATATTTTAGCTTCTGTTAAATTTCTTCCAAAAAATTGTCTAATATTGACAAAGTTCCTTTAGTTCTCCCTTCCCCTTTATTATTTTTTAAATTTTTAAAGATTTTTAACTTTTAAAATAACATCAACCCCAACATGGGGCTTGAATTCATGACCCTAGGATCAAGAGTCACATGATTGGGATACCTCAGTTAAATATCTGCCTTCAGCTTAGGATCTTGATGCCAGGGTCCTGGGATAGATCCTGTGCCTTGCAAGGCTCCCTGCTCAGTGGGGAGGCTGCTTCTCTCTCCCCCACTGGTTCCCCCCACCCCGGCCCTGCCTGCCCTCACGTATGCATGTGTGTGCACGCTTTCTCTCTCTCAAATAAATAAATCTGTAAAAAAATAAAACTTGCATATCTACCAACTGAGCCAGCGAAGCACCCTCCCAACACCTTTAAAATCAAATCACTACAGGGCTCAAAATCTACAATTGCTCCTTTTGCAATACATCGAGTTAATTCCATAAAAATTTTCAAAATCATCTTTAATTTGGTCCTTTGCTGCCTAATATCCCCTTCCCAACTATAGCATATTATATTCATCTTTTGCATGACTTCCTATTTGTAAGGTATTTTTCAGTGTACTTATTCAAACAAATCCATCTTCCCCACAACTCTCGAAATTACTCTAGGCTTTCACTTATCCACTGTCTTTGAAGTTCCTCGGCATGAGATCAATGATACCAGGCTCTTTAGTACAGTCTATTTTGTACCATCATGTAATTGTTGCGTGTTTATTTTTGTCTCCCCATACACAGCGGAGGTCTTCAGTCAAAAAAAATTTTATTTTAAAAATCTGTATACTCCCCTAATATCTTTAGACAAAATCAAGCATTTGCAAAACTTATCTGAACATTGTATTTTTTTTTCCTCATGTAAGCCAAACCTCTATCCACAGCAGTTATAGTTAGCATTTTTTTTGACTCATTCATTTCAAGTGGTTACTTTTTTTAATGGAAGCATATAATATTATGACAAATATTCCAAGTAATATATTTTTGTGTTATGAGGCATACTCCTATTTATGAATTAAGCTACAATAATCTGATTGTAAATGGTATATAGAATGCTAGTTTTAATGTCATTATTTATAATATTAAGGTAAAAGAAAAATTTTATTTAAAATATAACCGTATTTGTCACTCACTCCAAGTGTTGTAGACTTTGGAGTAATTTCCACACTCCCAGTTATAAAACACTTGTGTAAGTCACATTATGAACTTTACCTCATTCCCAGTCTTCTACAGTTGCATAGGATGGTTGAGACCTTCATACAGCAAATCAAGGTCAAACTAAGATATGGTCTGATGCTCTCTATGGAGATGTTCTGAAGAGAGATGAATAGTGGAGATGGTGAACCTTAACCACCCAGAATATTGCATGTGACTTGAAAATATCTATACCTCAGGGTAGTGCTTTCCCTGAGAACCTGATGAACTCATCCCTCTACATTGTGGAAGTGTCTGATAAACTTCTAAGGCAGCAGGTTTACGTGGAAAGTTAATTAGGTAACTCTTCGTTTTTTTCTTAAAATTTATGGCGTACATGACTAAAAGAGGGATTATCTTCTGCTTAGTACCCTGTAAAGATCTACAGGGTTCTGGAGAAAGCTTTTTAAAGACAGCCAGCCAGCTATGCACCAAAGAACAGACCAATGGCTAACAATGTCAGTTATTTAAAACATGTATAAACTGCATTATCATGTAGGAAAAACTTATTTAGTAGGAGTAACAAGTAGAGGATGAAAGCCTACAAGGAATGCATTTGTGCATCTAGATAAAACAACACTGAAAGGTTCATGGTTAAAATTCAATGACCTTGGAAATAGGGAAGATTCCTCAGGAATCCTTCTTTTGGTAACCTGAAATCATTTGAGCATTTCTTCTTAACACACAGCACGTTATCAGGCACTGTGCTACGCTCCCTACAGGTGTTATTTAATTTTTACAATAATTCTCAGACAGGCACTATTAAACGTCCTTGTTTCACAAATCAAAAAAGTGAGGTTAGACAGGCTACAGAAGGCACTTTAAGTTTGGGAAATGGTAGAACCAGTATTTAAATTTGGAACTCCCAGACTCAAAAGTGTTTTAATAGCAATCACAGTACATGTCTCGACTGTATTAGGAGTGCACTTCTATTTTATTTTTGCTCATTATTCAGTATGGGTGTTTTAAAACATGAGGGTTACATGCTGATAAGGCAAACTGACTTCTAATTGATGGCTACTCAAAAACATCTTTTAGAAATTGTCGTGATTACACACTGGGTCATTTGCTTAGATTTGTGCATTTGACTAATTTGTTCTGAAAACCACAGGAAATCTCAGGCTATTAAGAGCTATGTTTACTTGCCTTCGATGTTCCTTAAGTAGCAGCATGTTTTTTATGTAGTAGGTACCCAAAAGTAGACTCCATCAACTCAGAAAAACTGAGGGTGAAGTCATATAGTTTTAGTCCCAGTTTACCTTTGACATTCTAACTATAGTATGTATTACAAGATAAATATCCTATGGTTCTATTAAGCTGTCTTCAACACCATTTTATGCTATTAAAATGCTTTAAAATAGATTTATTTAGTAAATGCTTTAAAGGCACACCTAAAATTCAAAGCTAGGTAAACACTTCCAAAATTAGTGTTAAGTTAATTTTTAGAGGAATTGAATTAGACATTTTCTTGCATCTCCATTATTAAAGGTAATTTATTAGATGATAGGTCTTGCAAATAGTAGAATGAATTTTACAAAGGTGAAAGAGAATCTGCTGTCTTTATCATTCTTGGAAACAAATCTGTTATTTTTATCACAGATCCAAGTAATTTTAGGCTAGTCGGCCAGGTGACTGTGGAGTGACACTGCCATCTAGTGGCCATTTTTCACCATAGGTGATGCCCCTTTTGGCCCACTGGGCAATGTTGAGGAGACTTGAATTCATCATCAGGTTAGATACACTTTGGAGACTTGAATTCATCATCGGGTACACACACTTTAGCACTCATCTTCACATCTCAGTGGATCATATAAAGTCTTTGAGGGAGGAACCATGTCTTATGTATTTTCTTTCTTTCCTGTGCTAAGTATTTGCTAACAACAAATATTTCTTTAATGTTTAGGACCCACCCAGCTAAGTTTTCATTCCTCATTCTGTCTACCTCCTCACACACCTAACTCTTCTGCTTAGGCCTGCATAAAAACTGGCAAATGTGGAAACTGTGGTGAGACCATGGCAACTTTTTGTTCTCATGACCGCATTACCAATTTAAAAAGCAGAAAATAAAATTATGCATTATGTGGCTGATCCTTAATACTGGAAACTAAAAAAAATAGATTACATTAAATTCTTCTAGTGGATAAATGGAATGCAACCAAATCATTAGAACAGCAGAAAGATAAACATCATTACAATTTCATTCTAATAGCTACACTTTAAGGAATGTTTATAAAGTGCCAGGCATTGTTCTAAGTGCTTTCTGTGTTACCTTATGTAGTCCTCAAAACAACCCATAAAGTAGTTAGAACAAAAAACAACAAAAATAGTGGTTTTTTTTTTTTAAATACCCAGATATTCCTAATAAAGATTATTTTGAAAAACAAATTTTGAAAAACAGATTTACTAGTCACCTAAAATACTTGGAAGAATTAGATTGCTTTAGTAGAATTACTATAATTATTCTTTGGAAGACACGTACTAAATGAATCAAATTAACAGGAGAAAGAGAGTTTATTTATCTATTTATATATCTGTCTTGGTCTAGAAAAGACTACAGGTGGCTTCAAAGGGGATCCTAATAACTTTCTGAAAAATATTTAAAATCTTAAATATATTACTCTCCCCAAAAGTTGGCTGCTTCTAAGCTTGACTTAATATTTTGCATGTTTTCTCTTCGTTGTTTTGTAAATGTATTTGCTTCTCCTTTTCGCAATCGACGTCTGATAGCTGATTTTTGCTGTTTCGTCAACTGACGTTTCACCTTCTGTTTCACCATTTCCTGGAAAGATTTCATGAGTTAGTATTACTGATAATTGACCACTTTGATAAGGAGTAAATATTCAATAAAACAAAGATTTACATTGCTAATATTTTTTAAAATTTATTAAGAGCATGAATTTCTTGAATTCCAAATACTGACAGTCCTATATGAACCAACAATAAAATAAACACAAACTAATGGTTACAAAATAGGAGAAATTAAATTACTAACAGAAATACAGATTATAGCAAAAAAGTAGTACACTATAGCAAAAAAGTAGTACACAATTCTTTGACTAACAAATCTCCATAGTGCCACCTAGTGTCCATCAGGAAAACTGAAACCAAAAATGGAAAACCAAAAAACCCAGGATAAAAACTGTTTCTCTGTGTTCAAGATAAAAGTAGAAATGGCGCTGCAGTAGAAAAGTATGTTGGAAAGCATTCACAACTGGTCAAAATGTATCCAAGAGTCTTTCTAACTTCAGGTATAGGGATGACCTGATGGCAGCATTTACATGAAAAAGTCTTTATATAATTCCTGGGAAATGTAGAATAATTTCTCAATATAAATTCAAATGATTTCTTGTTAAGACTCAGGCTCCTAGTGTCACTTACAATATGAATAAAAAGTTTGAATATTCTGTTCCCAATAACCTTTCCTTCATCTGAAGCACTACTGCCTGTTATTTAATTGTATATAACCTTGTATCATCCAACTTATTTCCTAAAAAAGAGATACTGCAATGGTTGAAGCAAGAGTCTCTTTTTAATATGCCTCACCCTATGCTAGGCACACAAAAATATTTATTAAATATCTGTCAAGTTAAAAAATTAAAGCATAACAGGTAAAAAGGGGCTAGAAGAATTAGTCTGCCTAATAGACTGTTTCTTGGGTTGTATATGTGTACTATAAAACTTTGGACCAGGTTAGTTAAATGGAGACTTTGCATTATTTAACACAGTTAAGGACACTACACTCAATCAACAGGCTTTAACAAGTTATCCTTCTTAATTTTAGTCTTAATGATTCTCAATGGGAAAAAAGGCAAGAGAATAAAGGATAGAAACAGATGGAAGAATCAGAATTCAAGTCCCTGCAGAAAACCCCTTGAGATGTAGTCACCCAAACCAGTAAGGCAGGAGACTTAGAAGGAACTGGTATCCCAAAGTTTCAGAACTGAAAGCTATAGGATTGGCTGAAAGTTTAGAATAAGTGTGACTGGCCCCCAGGGTTCTTCGATACCCTAGGAAGACTAGCAAACTACCATAACCTCCTCACCCCAACAAGAGACCAGAATCCTGAATTAGAAAAGCATCTTCTTAACTATAACAAGGACTAAACAGCAATACCTTCAGAATTCTGAAGGAAAATTATTCCCAAACCAGAACTCAAACACTTAAGCTCCCAATCAAGTGTTAGAACAGGGTAAGACATTTTAAGTAATAAAAAGTACTGACCCTCCCATTCACTCATGTAATTACTGGAATCTGTACTGCTAAATAAAAAAGTACACTAGGTAAGAGAAAGAGATGGAACAGGAAAGAAGGCAACCAATAAATAGGAAACTAAGAGTCCCAGGAAGACAATAGTAGAACATGAACCACATTTAAACTACAAGAGTTCACAGAGGTCTCTAGAATATTGCCAAGAAAGAAAAATCAATTTCTTTTCTAAATGTTCTGCTTGAATTTTCCCTTGGTTCACTTTGATGAGACCATAGGATCATCATACCATGAAGCTGAAGAAAATAAGGAAATAACAGATTACTATGCATGCACCTACTCCTAATCTGGAATAATTTACGAATCCTACAAGATTAATTTTTCATGTTAAAAAAGGGAGAGAAAAATCTCACTTACTACATATTTTTTAAAATGAAGAAACACAAAATAAAAAAAATGTGTATTATTAGAGTACATTAAATAATTAACAAAAATCATGCACTTTGTTGATTCCATTGTTTGTTTTGTTATTGTTGGCCATATATATTTATTAAAAAGCTACATACCTTAATGTTTAATTAGAATTTGTTACATATTAGGAAGAACAGGGTTGAGAGGTGGCAACTGCCAATAAACAGAGTACTATAAAAGTATTTATATGAAGAAAACAGATCTTACAATTACAGTTTCAAAGAGCACAGAGAAAATCTTTTACCAGATAGTGAAACAATAATCATCAAATTAAGAGAGGTAACAAAAGGGGTTACTGAGGCTGGGTGGCTCAGTCATTAAATGTCTGCCTTTAGCTCAGGTCATGATCCCAGGGTCTGGGATCGAGCCTGGCATCAAGTCCCGCATCCAGCTTCCTGCTCAGCAGGAGGCCTGCTTCTCCCTCTCCCACACACCCTGCTTCTGTTCCCACTCTTGCTCTCTCCTTGTCAAGTAAATAAATTAATCTTAAAAAAGAGAGGGAGAGAGAGAGAGAGGTTAACAAAAATTGTTTTCTCCTGATCTTTTAACAAAATAAAATGTAACCTCAAGGAAAACAGTATGACCAAACTTCCAAAAGAAAGAAGAATTTAGATGATCAATTCGTTTCCAAGGACTACATGAAACTTTTTGATCAAACTAGGCTTAAGAGATCTTTTTTCTCTTTAGAAGGCAAATTTGTATTTTATAATACAATTCATTCTGGTTTGACCCCATTTTAACCTTTAAGTTCCCGTTAGCTATAAGGGAAATGGGATAAAGTCAAAACAACCTAAAGATAATGTTAGTGTCATCATTTTTGTATACAGAAGACAGCATAATTTAGAGTTTATGAAAGTAGCATTAATTAGTAATCTAAACTTTATATGCAATTGCTGGTTTTACACCACTGTAATTACATAAAAGCATTTGTTTTCAATCTGAGAAATCAAAGAAAAAAAGGGTAAATAAAACTCATTAAGTATAGAAAATATCAAAGCCAAGGGTGAACAGACAATCAAAGAGTACGAGAAATTCTTTTCCTTTTTAAAAGATTTATTTATTTACTTGAAAGAGAGAGAGGAGGGGTAGAGAGAGTGGGAGAGCCTTAAACATAAGACTCAGTAAAGAGCCTGACTGGGGCCTGGGACTTGATCTCAGGACTCAGATCAACACCTGAGCTGAAACCAAAGGTCAGACACTCAACTGATGGTGCTATTCAGGCACCCCTAAAAAGTGTGAGAATTCTTAATAAATACAGGTTGCTAATACTTAAAGGAAGACTTTTGTTTTTTAATATAATTAATAGGTATCTCAAAAGTTTCATAGATTTAAATTTTACACCCAGAATATCAGGTAAATTATAAGGCCAACAATAAAGAGTAAATACATTTATATGCATATATATATAAAATATTCATATATATAAAACATATATATTTATATATATATCAAATATATATTTTATATATATAAAAATCAATACATTTACAGAATTACACACTTTTATTTTAGGCTGACAAGCTCTAAATGTTTCTATCAAGTAAAGTTCTTATAACCATTAAAAGTGTGCTATGTTATAAAATACAGAATGTTATTTTTAGCTTATCTTTTTTTAAAAAAGATTTTATTTATTTATTTATTTGACAGACAGAGATCACAAGTAGGCAGAGAGGTAGGCAGAGAGAGAGGAGGAAACAGGCTCCCTGCTAAGCAGAGAGCCGGATGTGGAGCTTGATCCCAGGACCCTGGGATCATGACCTGAGCTGAAGACAGAGGCTTTAACCCACTGAGCCACCCAGGCGCCCCTGGGCTTGTCTTTGATAATTCTGATTTAATTTTGTAAATATCTCATATTATATCCATAGGACATAGATTTTAACTTCCTGGCAAAATATATGAACTTGGAAATCAGAAGTTCTGTAAAGACAAAGTTCTTTTATTTTGAATTCACATTCCACATAATTTTATTTCCCCCTTTCTAACTTCTTTATATTTTTTTAACTTTTTTTTTTTAAGATTTTCTTTATTTATTTGACAGACAGAGCTCACAAGTAGGCAGAGAGGCAGGCAGAGAGAGAGGAGGAAACAGGCTCCCCGCGGAGCAGAGAGCCTGATGTGGGGCTGGATCCCAGGACCCTGGGATCATGACCTGAGCTGAAGACAGAGGTTTTAACACACTGAGCCACTCAGGCGCCGCCCCCCCACCTTTCTAACTTCTAAACTGATTTTCTTTTTGTTCATTTTAAGTTATCACTAAAAACTGGTTTCAATGGTATTTAACTTCATGCCTTTAAGCATTAGAAATATACACCAACGATGTAATTTTATTTCTTTCCCTAAAAATTGACTAAGGAGGGGCACCTGGGTGGCTCAGTGGGTTAAAGCCTCTGCCTTCGGCTCAGATCATGATCCCAGGGTCCTGGGATCCAGCCCCGCATCGGGCTCTCTGCTCAGCAGGGAGTCTGCTTCCTGCCCCCACCTGCCTGCCTCTCTGCCTACTTGTGATCTCTGTCAAATAAATAAATAAAACCTTAAAAAAAAATTGACTAAGGAAATAAACTTCCTACAGGGTACCCTGCAGAGAAGGATGGCAGGCAGTAAAGCTCCTCAGAAGCTGGACTATTTGTGTTCACTCTCCCGCACAGAAAATGCCCCTTAAGAAATTGTTTTGAACACAGCTGCTAAATGTGTAACAAAAAGTTAAGATACCCAATATTTTTAAATCACCTATTTTTCTCCTTCAAAATTAAAGAACTGGCTAGTGAAACTGGTGCATCTTTGCACTTCAGCTGCACTGCTGTCACTGGGTAACCCTGAGCAAAGTCATGTAACCAACTGGGCCTCAATTTCCTCATTATTAAACTGCAAAGACTGGACCATATATATGAGTGTCTACAATCTGTCCATTCGGTTAAGTTATGACCTAATCAACATCTGGACAATGCTGAATAGTTACCGGAGGAATTGTTGAACAGCTTAAAACACTGCCCGCAGAAGTAACACTCAGAGTTCTTGTTCTGCACTGTTTAATATCTTCTGTATTTTCTTCATCTCTAAAATTAAAAGAAAGTCACAAATTTTCCAGTTAATTTAATTATGGCAATTAACTTATATTATTCCTACAATATAGTAAAACTTAAAAAACACACATGCCAGAAAGATCATTATATTTAAAATTTCTGTGTAGGTAAAACTATCCACGATTCAGCCCAATTTATTAACACTTCACTTTCCAGCATTCAAATAGTCACTATCAAAATTGCAAAATGGTAGAATGTTTCAGCCACCGAATTTGTTATCACGTTCCCACAACTCATATCTTTCCCACTAATCATCTCCTTTTCTTTCACTGAACTTTACGCCTATCTGCCTCTTAAAACGTAAATTCTTGTAAAACTTTCCTGCCATCTCCTGGACAACAACTGAGGGCACAGAGAGTACTCTCATAGTCTGTTCTGTTAAGGCAGAAAAAATGATGGAAAATAACTTGTTTTACACATGCTCAAAGTTTTTATGTATACAAGGTATAAGAAACTCAGATAACATTAACCCCTAACAGTATTTTTCATCAAAATGTTATCTTGTTTCCATTCTGAATAATAAAAATTTTGCCCAACATGTGTTCAAAGAGAACAAATTACTCCATACTAAAACTATTTAACCTATGTAGATTTTCTTATATTACTTACCCAAACTCAGCCACTGCCACCCTTGATTTTAATTTTACAAGCTTACTATTTGAGTGGTAATAGCCCTGAGATTCTGGATATGGTTATACAAAAAAGGCACAAAATTTTTGTGTTTTGCTTCACAATAAAACTAAAGATTAAGACAGCCTTAGCATGTAAGCCTGAACATGTACTGAGAAATGCCTAATAAGTGTATTATTAATTTAATTTTGTCATATTACTATTTTGAATAAAACTCCATTTCAGGATAAAGAAGATGTGATACACACACACACACACACACACACACAATGGAATACTATGTAGCCATCAAAAGAAATGAAATCTTGTCATTTGCAACGACATGGATGGAATTAGAGGGTATTATGCTGAGTGAAATAAGTCAATCATAGAAAGACAATTATCATACAATCTTCCTCATATCATACGATATGAGGAATTTGAAAGGCAGAGTTGGGGGTCTGGGGAGTAGGGAAGGATAAAATGAAACAAGATGGGATTGGGAGGGAAACAAACCATAAGAGACTCTTAATCTCACAAAACAAACTGAGGGTTGCTGGAGGGAGGGGGGTTTGGAGAGGGTGGTTGGGTTATGGACATTGGGGAGGGTATGTGATATGGTGAGTGCTGTGAAGTGTGTAAGCCTGACGAGTCACAGACCTGTAGCTCTGGAGCAAATAATACATTATATGTTAATAAAAATAATTAAAAAAAAAACTCCATTTCATTGAACTATAATTATTTGATTCTGGATAAACTATCCCAAGTCTAGAAATTAAATCTTTTATATCTTTTGCTAGTACTAATATTTGCAAGAAAAAAACTCTTACAAGAAAAATAACATAGTAACATTATATAATCTTAACTGTAAATGAGCAAATAAGGATACAGGATTCAAAGTACCAGAGAAAATTCACTATAAGTAGGTATTTTAGGAAGAGAGCACCTTTACTGCATATTTATTGGACTACACATAAATCAAACATACATTAGATGTAAAATCACAAAAATATCTGAACATTCATCCATCTACAACTTGTTCTATTTATCAAGATCAATTTGAGGAGCCTGGGTGGCTTGGTGGGGTAAGCCTCTGCCTTCAGCTCAGGTCATGATCTCGGGGTCCTGGGATTGAGTCCCATATTGGGGACTCAATTGGCTCTCTGCTTGGCGGGGGGCCTGCTTCCCCCCTTCTCTCTGCCTGCCTCTCTGCCTACTTGTGATCTCGCTCTGTCAAATAAATAAAATCTTAAAAAAAAAGATCAATTTATCAACTATTTGTAAATAATTCTTTTAATTAATTGGTTTGCATTTTAAGGCAGAACTGCTTAAAACTGACATAATAGGTTGCAAGGGGTAATGTGAATTTTAACAACAAAAGGTTATTTGCTTTCATTATTTACACGTAATGGGGAAGAATTAAATAAAATCTTTAAAAAAAGATCAATTTATCAAATGTTTGTAAACAATTCTTTTAATGTAGTTGGTTTGCATTTTTAAGGCAGAACTGCTTAAAACTGACATAATAGGTTGTAAAGGGTAATGTGAATTTTAACAACAAAAGGTTATTTGCTGTCATTATTTACACGTAATGGGGAAGAATATAACTCTGCTACATCATTTGGGAAAAAAATAAACAAACACACCCACTCATCTACCAGCCCTGAAGAAAGTATAGGTCTCCACATTAAAGCATTTAAAAAAAAAAAAAATCAATCCACAGACATCTATACCTGAAAGGCCTGATTTCTTTGTTTAATGACGACAAGGCAATCAGATGAGGGCATACATCTTCATATTCTTCATAGCCCATGCAGATTCCTCCTTGACCTGCTTTACCATTTTGGCTGGTGTCATTTTCAGTTTTGTTTTTCTCCTCAGTTACAGAACTGTTGTTAACAACCTGCTCTTCTATTTCTTCTAAAGCTTGACTAAATTCAGGTATTTCAAAATTGTGTGCATCAGCACTCTCATCTGACAAATCATCTTCCTTTATTTGCTCAAGATCTCCAGATGATATGCAACAGCAGACAGCTGTTTCATCTGTAGAGTTTCGATCGCTATGATTTTCTGAACTATAAACCTTTGCTTTTTCTAACATCTCTTCATCAGAATGTGAGAATTCAGACTCGTCTTCTGTTTCAGTAATTTTATTATCTGGACCTACTGGATGAAGCAGTTCATCATCTGTTTGCATTTCCTTTGTGTAGCCACTGGCAGAAACCTCTACATCAAGAGAGTCTTCCCTCCTAGGAAAAAAGAATGACTGCTTAAGTAATAGGAAAAAAAATGTACCTGACACGGGTATTTATTATTCTGACAAAATATAATCCTCAAATGAGTTTAGTAGTTTGTATGCTTTAAAGATTATTCTTTCCCTAAAATCTACTACTTAGTTAAGGATTCAAATGTAAAAGATACAGGCTTATTGTCATGTAAGAATAAAGTGACTATGGAAAGCAACAAATACTAGTAGAAAGTATTAACATCAGTTGATATTTATTTAATAAATTCACTTTCAAAAGGGGCTAAAGATTTCTTCTTTTAAGTTACGTCAATCATCCCAAATCAGAAAACTGTATGTTAATTAAGTATATAAAATAAATGGGGAAATTTTGCTTTGAGAATTTACATATAATTATGTTCCATAAATCAATTAAATACAGCTTCTCTTCTGAACAAAGGACAACATAAACCCCAATGAACACTTGACTTGCTTCCTTAAAAATGGGTTATTCACTATTAAGCTGCACTTTGCAGTAAAAAGTTTGAGAATTTGTAAGAAACTAGGTATGCTCCTCCCCTAAATCCAGTAACATTGCCTTAGTAGACCAAAGGTAGGAATTTTCTAGTTTTTAAGTTTCATTTATACATTAGACAGCAATGATACTCAACAATGATGATACTCCACAATTATAATGTGCTGGAGGTCACTATTTGGAAATTTTTAAAATCAAACTAACTGTTAAAACTCTTAGAACTAAATAAATCAGGTTATTTAAAGTTCTATCATTTTAAACAAAGCAGAGAACAAACCTGATATCACTAAAAGTTGGATAAAGCTCACTTTCATAGCTGAAACGTTTCATGAAGAAATCTCTAATGCATTTAACATCTCTGTCAAAATACCTGTAAAAGCAAGAATCATTTTTTATATATAGCCTGTGTTGCTCATGTTTTTCCTTATTAGTTAATGACAATATCCTTAATAATGACACTCTTAATCACTGTATGAAAAAGGAGTTACTCATGAGAAAAAAATAAAAGAAACAACTCAGTTGCCAGTGTGTTTGAAAAACTAAAACTAAAAGCAGAGAAATAAAGAGGAAATAAAAGCTTGACTGTCAAAGGCATTAAGTCCCTATAGTTAGAAAACTCAAGGTCTTCCCATACTGTAACAGACATAGTAAGAGAAGATAAAATGTATATGAATTTCAGAAAAGAAGATTCTGGATCTGTGGTGTGGGGGTGGGTTTCCACTTTTCCTTTTTAATTTCTAGTCTGTCTGGTTATACTTCTCATCAGCTATACCAAGAGAACCTAGTCAACTGCAAAAGCTAAAGATAAAATAGGTTAGTGACACCAAAGAAAAAGTTTGGGGACTATTAATTATGTTATGTTTATATACCTTTATTATCTGTTAGCTAATTTGCAACAACAGCCAAGAGAGATAAATAATACTGTGGCTTATTAATAATGATATGAAGACATGTTAATCTGGTCCAAGTGTAGAAAGACCTGTGAATATCACGTTGCTTTTTAGGCCACTGTAAAGTAGTGAGAACAGATTAAATTTTCTAGGTTCCTAGATAAGGGAGAATAAAGAAACAGGGTACTGTGGAATTGACTACCTGCTTGAATATTAACTAATTAATATTTTAGAAAAATATGAAGTCTGGAAACAGAAAGATAATGCCACTCTTCTTTCCTTTTAGGACACCAGGGGAAAAACCTTAATAAATTACTTAAAAATTATCTTTTTATATATGTCTATGTCTCATCTAACTAGATAAAATCTCAAAATCTTCAAAAGCAGAGATAGGTGTTATTTATATTTTAATTATTTATTAATTTATATCTTAATTTCTGGTGCTTAGCACAACTTCTTTTTTTTTTTTTAAGATTTTATTTATTTATTTGACAGAGAGAGATCACAAGCAGGCAGAGAGGCAGGCAGAGAGAGAGAGAGAGAGGGAAGCAGGCTCCCCGCTGAGCAGAGAGCCCGACGCGGGACTCGATCCCAGGACCCCGAGATCATGACCCGAGCCGAAGGCAGCAGCTTAACCACTGAGCCACCCAGGCACCCTTAGCACAACTTCTATACCCTAGTATTTGCCCATTAACTATCAAGTTAAATCACACTGTTTCCCTATAGAATAATGCAGCCTACATTTCAAATGCCAGGATTTGTCATCGTTTCCTTCTATAATTCTGGTGGTTCCTGGATGTTCCTTCATTGTGACTATGTTATCCCATATAATAAAACTGCTGATTAGTCAGCATCCAAAAATATTTTAACCACCCAAGCACCTAACAATCTATTAGTAATTGTTTGGTTAGGAATACTCTTTAAGTTTATATTTAATGGACATTTCTTTTTCTAGAGTAAGTATAGACATTTTCTAATGAGGATCAGGAGGAAGAAAATCTTGACTGAACACAAACTGGTTTGAACTCCTACTTTCCAAGAATTCATTATCTCTATTATCTAAGTGATAGCAGTGTTATCTTCAGGAATAAAGAGAAGTTTCTCATATTGTAACTTGGAACAGGAGGAAAAAAAAATATTCAACTTTAACTTGATTACCATCAGTTTCATCATAAAATACAAGGGAAAATATTCTGTCATATTTCGCAGCTTGGCTAGCTTACATGTTAAGTAATGTGAAGAATGAGATTATCACAGTATATAAAGTGATTCTGTCCTGTGTCAGGGATGAGGTTTTACATGAATTCTTTCCTAATAATAAAATAAAAGCTAAAAAATAGAAGAGATATTCTTGTTCTGGCAACCGAGTCCACTCCAAAATCACAATTTTTATTAAGACCATCATAATTATCAAATTATGCTTGGTGAAACACTCTTGAAGGCAACCATGGAGCAGAGAGAAAAGGGGAAAGGCACAGAAGACGGGGTTCTACAGTTTCCTTCTCTATGTCCCTACTTTTTCTGAGCAGGCCCGTTTTAAAAACTGGGCTTTCACCTAAAAGTATGAATAAAGGGTCCTTGGACTAAGAAAGTTTGACTTTCAAAAGTCTGTCAGATTACACAAGTAATTCAAATTCTTTTGATGGGTTATAAAGCAGGCAGTTTCTTCAGATTTCCCATTTACAGTATATACTTAATGACCTGTTTTAAAAACAGGATCAAAGTGCATTTTTTTCCCCTTCTAAAACACTGAATAAGAAAGATTCTCTTATAGGGGGGATTATCCTAGTCTGACATCCTTTAATAAAAAACTAAATTTTAGGGGCACCTGGATGGCTCAGTCAGTTAAGTGTCTGACTCTTGATTTTAGCTCAGGTCATGATCTCAGGGTCCTGGGATTGAGCCCCATGTCAGGTTCTGTGCTCAGCAGGGAATCTGCTCTAGGATTGTCTCCCTCTCCCACTGCCCCTCCCTCCACCCATGCACGCTCTCTCAAATAAATAAATCTTAAAGAAAAGCAACAATTTTTTAGACCATTAACATCAGCTGTTTCAAACCAGTTACTGACCCAAATGAGAGTATTACAATGTTGAAAAATTAAGAAAAAAATTATTACATCACACAAAAACACACCCATATCCAGAATCAGTTTTGGCATATACCATTCAGCATTGGGATGAGAAGTTGAAACCATCTGTGGAAAGTCAATCATGGTGATGTGGTCATCTTTATCCAAAATGAGATTAAATTCATTGAAATCTCCATGAATTAGTCCATGATTTGCAAGTTTGACGATCAGTTCCATAGCTTCATCATATACTGATGCAGGATCTTCAACATGGTGTATCTGACATCTGAAAGTATGAAAATAGGTTATTTGTATTCATTTACGATTTTCATGAAAGCAAGCATGTATATGTATTAATATTTCCATTCTTTAATTCCCTAACAACTTTTTCTTCATTTCTATCAGCATACAGACATAACAGCTCCCACTTATTTTTTTTCTTTTTAAAAGAAGCCATGACTGCCTCAATTCTGTATCCTCTGTCCACTACAAACTTTCTCTGGTAATTACAGCCAAACTTCTCATTTTTTCCCTCCCATTCTAATGAACCCATTTCAAACATTTTCATCCACCTTGTTCCAAAGAAATACGTCTGGTCAAAGCTACAAATGACTTCCATGTTGCTAAGTCCAGTAGTCATTATTTGGTCTGTCAGTTAAACTCTTCACCCTTGTTGAAATACTTCCTTCACTTTACCCTTGGTATACCAACTCTTCAGGCTATCCTCTTTCCATATTTATTACTCTGTCTTAGTCTTTTTTTGGACTAGTTCTTCATCTTTCCTTGACCTTTAAATTTTGGTGCTCCTCAAAGGTTATTGTTAGGAGCTTTTATTTACAATCATTTTGGTGATCTCATTCAGGCTCATGGCTTTTATATACTGACCTCAACCTAGACTTCTCTGAACTCTAAGGCTTCTCAAACTTAACATCTCAGTCCCACAGTGAACCTCTGATTCTAATTCACCCTCTAACTCCAAGCTGCTCTTTCTATAATCTTTCCCATTTCTGTAAATGAAAACTTTGAACCTCCAATTAATTTGTTATTCAGGCCCAAATATTGGTATTACCCTTGACATTCCTCTTCCTTCATATCAATATCCAATCCAAACAAATCATGTTGTCTCTACCCAAAAAATATATCCAGAATCTGAACACTTTTTATCACCTTAAAATCTACAACTCTGATCTAAACAACCATTATCTCTTGCCTGGATTATTACAATAATCGCCTAATTTGTCTTCCTAATTCTGTCCTTATCTCATTTCAGTCTATTCTCAAAACAACAGCCGCAGTAATCCTATTAAAATAGTCACACCATGTCTCTTGTCCAAAATCCTCCATTGCTTCCTATCCCAATCAAAATAAAAAAGCCCTTGTCCTAACTATTGCTACATTGGCAATGACACTGCAATATATAAATTTATGAAATCAACATGTTGCACAGTTTATATTTATGTATCAAATGTATTAAAAAAGAAATTAAAAATTCCTTGCAATGGCCTTTAAAGCCTAAATGATCTAGTTCCCAGCAGCCTCTCTGATCTTATCACTTGTATTCTCTGCCCTCACTCACTTAACTCCAGCCACACCAGCCTCTCAACTGGTCCCTGAACATTTAGGCATGCTCCCATCTCAGGATTTATGTAGTTGCTGTCCCCTCTCTCTGGATCTCTTAGATAGCTATAGGGTTTTCTCTCTCATTTCTTTAGGACTGTGCTCAAAAAAACACCTTATCAATGAGACTCTTCCTGCCCATTTATGTGAAAATAGCAGTTTCTTCCACGTACATCAGTACTTTCTGTCCCCCTTACCTGCTTTATTTTTATCCACTGCATTTTCTACCATCTGATAATCATACATTTCCTTAATTAGCTATTTATTGCATGTCTCCTTCCAACAGAATATAAGCTCTATGAAGGCAGAGATTTTGTTTTGTTCACTGCTGAGCCTTGGTATATCTTAGAAGAGGCTTGGTATATACTAGATTGTTAATAAATACTTGTTGAATGAATCACAGAGATTATAAAATCCATACTGTTAGAATGAAACTGAGTTTTTAATTTGCATGAGACTATAGCTTTCTATTAATTTCTTATCTCTATTAAATATTCCATTTAATTAATATACATTTTGAAAACTAAACCTTACATTTATTTATTAGGATCCATAGTTTCCAGAATAATAAATACTTACAGAGGATAGCCATTTATGAGTTCCATGACCACTGCATGGCGATTATAATCAATTGGTTTTGGGACTGGGAACTTCCTCTCATACAATGCCTGAAACATAGCAAAACGGGTATAAACTAATGAAGACGTCATTAATTTTTAGGGAAAAATAGAAGCAAACATACTGGCTCACAACCAGAAAAAAAACACAGAAGTCTTTACAAAATTACAGTTAACACACGCTTATTTATGTATGGCTTATTCACAACAAAAATGAACTATACATAAAACAAAATTTTAAACCAGTTTACTTAATTCACTTTTTCACCAAGCATTAATTAATTAAGCATTAATTGAACATTTACTGAATATTATACATGGTGTTAGGGTTATAAAAATGAATGTTAAAAAGTCTGTCCCCAAGAAGCCTACAGTCTCTTAGGATATATGTTCTTATTTTGTTAAATTTTTGTCACTAATTGGGAGTGTACTTAAAAATTCACGTGGAGGGTGCCTGGGTGCCTCAATTGGTTAGGTGTATGCCTTTGGCTCAGTTTGTGATCTCAGGGTCCTGGGGTCAAGTCCCATATTGGGCTTGCCTCTGCTTGGTGGGGAGTCTGTTTCTCCCTTTCATTCTCCCTTTGTACTCTCTCTCTCAAATAAATAAATAAAATCTTTAAAAATTCACATGGAAATAAGTTGTAATTGGGAAATTTATGCCCTCTACAGTTTGGAATGCTACTATTTCAATGTAGGCCTTTGTTACTTACACCTATTTGCTCCAACAGTGGTTCTAGCTTTTGCCACGATATCTAACCTTTATTCTGTGTACCAATACCAAACTTGAATAGTTACATCAATGTTCCATTTAAGAAAACCTACAATGTTGTATGTATTGATTTCAGTCTGGAAAACTTTTCCTGGTTGTCAAAACTCTCTTTAATCTACTTATCCAGTCCTAGTTTTTCCAGTACTCTTTTTAATAAGCACTCTGGAGTACACACAGGGCTTACATCCATATTCATGTCTTTGCCCATAGTAGCTCCTCTGCAAAGTACACTGTCTTACTATCTTCTCCTTAGAGACAAATTATATGCATGCTTCATGACTCTATTCAACTCCTACTCGCTTTATGAAACCTCCGTTATCAACTATTCTAGTCTACAGAAGTTTCTCTAAATATAAGACGTAATTTAATTTTTAAACTATTCTATATATATATATATATATATATATATATTTGTGTTGTGTTCCTAATTTTAAGACACTGACTGCATTACTTATTTCTTTGGTATACACACCTTCACCCCACTGTATGCCAGCTACTTAATACAGTGGTAGGCATACAACTGATATTTAATATATTATCTATTAACAGGGTTAGTTTTAGAAAGCTCTTTACTTCCTTGCACTATGGCTTAATCCTTTAAGGTATCACCTAATCTTATTTTACACTCTAGGAAAAAAGAGAATAAATTTAAGAAGCATATTTATGCACAACCTGGCTCTATTCTAGTACTTTCAAATAAACATCTGAGAAAACACCTAGTGCAGTTTTGGGAAAATGTGTAACAATCCTTACCAAACTGCCTACTTACTGATTGTTTATCATTGGTTACAAACCATCAGTATAAGACAAGAAACATCTATCATGTACGGTATCAGCATCACTTATATTGTCTTGAGAGTTTTCCCATGATTACTAAAAATTTAAACACATGAATTAAAATAACCTACTCAAAGAACACTCCTAAGAGTTTCATATACTGGTCATATACTAGAGGGATTCCCTTTTTTTTTTTTTTTTAAATATATGTATGTATGTATGTATGTATTCTTAGTAATCTATTTACCTAACATGGGACTCAAACTCACAACCCTGAGATCAAGAGTTGCATGCTCTTTCAACTTGGCTAGCCTGGTGCCCCTAGAGTGACTTTTTTTTTTTTTAAAGATTTTATTTATTTATTTGACAGATAGAGATCACAGGTAGGCAGAGAGGCAGGCAGAGAGAGAGAGAAGAGGAAGCAGGCTCCCTCCAGAGCAGACAGCCCGATGTGGGGCTTGATCCTAGGACCCTGAGCCGAAGGCAGAGGCTTTAACCCACTGAGCCACCCAGGCGCCCCTAGAGTGACTTTTAATAAATCAAAATTTTAAAAAGTGAAGATAAGTAGTAATAAATAAACACTATTATTTTGGAAAATAATAACAATAGGATACTATTTTCTGTTTAATTAAATGTTATTGAAGATATTTAATTTAGTTATTAAAGATATTTAACAAATCTTGGGGCATTTGGGTGGCTCAGTCGGATAAGCATCTGCCTTCAGATCAGGTCATCATCCCTGGGTCCTGGGATGGGGAGCCCCAGGTCAGGCTCTCCGCTCAGTGGGAGCCTACTTCTCCCTCTCCCTTTGCCAGGCCCCCTGCTTGTGCTCTCTATCTCTCTCAAATAAATAAAATCTTAAAAAAAAAAAAAAAAAGATATTTAATAAATCTATCCTGAACTTAATTTTGAAGGTGAAAGGTTAAAGGCTAAAGATTTTTACCATTCCTAATATGCATACATATTTGTAAATCAACATTTCTTTTCTATTACATGAAGGAAAAACACTAGTCAACTTACCCGAGACACTAAGGTTTCTACAGATAACTACTATAGGTAATTCCCTGGGATTTTCAATTAGAGACAAATGTATGCATATTTATGTATACTGAATAGATATACATTCACACAAACATTTGTGAGGCAATTACATCATTAATTATTAAGGTTATTAATTATTAAGGTCATTTGTTAATATTGTAGACTATTATCTCATACTACAAGATAATATTTTATTAATATTGTAGAACACATTTTGCCTTGATGTGCATTAGTAACAAAAGTGCCTTCACATCAGAAAAAAAAAGAGTCACCAGAAGAGCAAATAACAGAAAAAAGCAATAATTAAAAGTAAGCGAAAGAATTGGGACTAGGGGTAGAGAGATGTAGGGGCAGCAGACTGATAACTGTCACTACATCTTTTCAACTACATGTATTATTTGGTTAAGAAATATAAAATTATTCACCAAATACCTTCATATAGGCAAATTCTTTCATGGCAGAGAGACGAGATAAATAAAGCCAAGACATGTTATGCCTGTGTTTATGATAATCACGTTTGTTTTTCAGATTTCGAAAGGAGGTTCTTCCCAATCTGTGAAGCTTTAATGCAAATTGCTGCCCCTCTTCATTTGCAACAATGTAAATATCTAGAGCCAAGATTTAGAAAAGATCATTATTATACTATCATTCCAAAAAGTTCATTTGTAATTTCCAAACTTTGATTTTATTTGTATCAAATTTTCTTTCCTAATAACCAGGAATATTTACTACTCAGCAAAATTCTTTCTCTTAAAATACAATGCAAAATAAGATGACATGTATTAATATCTGATACAAAAGAAAACAGAGATGTGGTGTGTCAAAGGTTACTGCTCCCACAGGTGCTCAATACTCAGTTCAATTTAGTGGCAAAAATCTCATTGTCCCTTAGTGTCCTACATATATGATAAGTGATTTAATACCTTTTTTCAACAATATGAAGCTCAATCCTTCAACTGCTTCAGTGGATAATATTCAATTGTTAGAATATAATCCCGTAGGGGTGCCTAGGTGGCTCAGTGAGTTAGGTGTCAGCCTTTAGCTCGGGTCGTGATCCCTAGGGTCCTGAGATTGAGCCCTGCATTGGACTCCCTACTTGGTGGAGAGCCTGCTTCTCCCTCTCCCTTTGCTGCTCCCCCTGCTTGTGCTCTCCGTTAAATAAATAAATAAAAATCTTAAAAATAAAAAAAAATATATAATCCTATAGTAATCAGAATGGAGATCTTCCCATAAGTACTGCAATTATAAAAAAATAGTTGTTATTTGAAATCTTGATATTTAAAACACGTCCTAATTATTCATGAGAAATTTTAATTATCACACATCAAGAAACTGTCTTTCACATTGGCAGGATTATAAATTAGTGTAAACTTTTGAAGGGAAATTTGGTACTACAAGTTTCAAATGTACATAACTTTTGCTCTAATAATTAAATTTCTAAGACTGTACTTATGAATTTATTTGCACATTTGCATAGAGATATGTGCACAAGGATGTATACCACGTCATTACTTACAAAAGACAAGATGAAGTAATATAAATGCCCTAACAACTGGGACTGGTAAATCAATTACTGATTTACTAGGTAAAACTCTGCAACTATGAAAAAGACCCATCTGTTAACATGAAATGATATCAGAAATGCATCAAGAAGCACCTGGCTGGCTCAGTCAGTAAAGCACAGGACTCTTGACCTTGGGGTTGTAAGTTGGAGCCCCAGGTTGGGTGTAGAGATTACTCAAAAATAAAATATACATATATAAAAAAAAGCATCAAGTGGAAAAAATCTAGATGTAAAATAGTTAAGTAATATTTGGTTTCATCTGTGATTAAAAAGATATGTGAATGCATATACATATATCGTCAGTACCTTATGTACTAGTATTAACAAAATATATCTAGAAGGACATATAAGATATTATTCAACAGTAACAACTTTGGGAAGTAATAACAGCAGACTGAGACCTGGGTTAGAGGTAAGATTTACTTTTTATTGTACTTTCTTTTGTACTATTTATCATTTCCATGTAGTGAAGTTCTTAAAAAAAAGCCATTTTTTAAAAATAAAAAAATTGGACATAAAAAAAAGGCAGCATATCTAAGAAAAGGTGTTCATTACCTCATTTTATACATTTCACATAATAAATTTCTCACACATACACACACAGTGTTATAAATATAACAGTGCTAAATAGCACTCCTGCAATACTTATTTGCTCAATGCTATTTTAGAATGCTTTTTTCTGAGTTTTACAAATATCTAAGTTTACCATATTTCTATGATGAAAAATGTGCTTGTGGCTTTTAAATATTCACTGTCTTCTAATACTCCTTTGTGTCACACATTTTAACTATTACAAATATCCATTTACCATATATAAAACAAAAGCAAAAAAAAATTTGCCAAAGACATCAGTCATTAGAAGAAAATTAATTCCTGCTATAACTGAGTTTTCAGTGATAGACTTATGAAAAACAATAACCTAACCTAAGGGTAATTTCATCATCTATATTGTTTCCAACCAACTTTTCAATTCACTGCTCAGTTGGAAAAGATGGAAAAATTAAAAAATAACGCTTTCTCAGGGGGAAATATAAATAGAAACTAGAGAGAAGAAAATGAGTTCAGTAGTACTGTTAGCACTTACCAGATTCTTTGCCAACACCCATCTGGTTTCCAACAGACTCAACTACCTGTCTAGAAGAAAGTGTTTTCAAAGCTAGGTAATCATAGCCTGCATTTGTCAATCGGTAGCCCTGGACAGCTAGACAAAATAAAACAAAAAAGACTGTATATTACTTACATTGTACAATCAAGTCACATTAGCTCAAGTCATGAGAAGAATTTAAACATAAGAAATCTTAGTTGGAATGATTAGCTTACCCAGTCTTCAGAGTGTGGCATTTCTTCCTATAATTTGTATTTTTTTCCCTAGAGCAGTGTTACTCAAAGTGTAATTCACAGACTGAGACCAGTCTCTAAATATTTGTTACCAGTCTGTGATAAGACACAGAAACTGAAATGAAGTGGTTACCTTAAGAAATTTTTATATTACTTAGACCAAGTTATTTTGTCTTTAACTCTAGTAAGGAATTTGTGCCTGTATTTTATCAGTTTTTAAATTTCACTTTTCTAGTAATTACTTTTTTATTGTTATTTTACTAAAGTATGGATGCATGATAGGTTGAAAAAAAGAAACAACCCTCACTGCAGACGGTTTGAGAATAAATACTTTAGAGTAGTGCAGTATAATGTATTTGCCCAAGATAGTGGCATTAATTCTCTCCTACTTGCTCTTCTGCCAATTAGAACTTGTTAATCTAACAGGAGATGGAGGCTATTTCTCTACTCTCTTTGATCTGGGTGGGCCCTGTCAATGCTCTAATAGAATATGGTAAATGTATGCCACTTTCAAGTCTACAAAGAGTACTTTGCTGGTATGGCAACTTTCACTTTCCACCTTTTGAAATGCCTGCTCTGGGGGAACCCAGATACATGAAAAATCACAAATAGTGCCATAAATACTTACTTTTGGTACGCTCCCAAGCTATGAGTTTATGTTTCACTAATTCTCTTAAAACTTTATTACAGCCACCATGTTTAAGGCTGGCTATAGAAGCAACTAAACTGCATGGAACTATTTCATGGTTCTTCATGCCCATTTCAACCTGAAATTAAAGGAATCATATGTAATCATAATCGACATAGAGCTGTTGTCTACCAAAACTTTGCTAAGTAATTAACTTCTTCAAATTTTTCTAACCATGCACGTACCCAGCCAACTCTGAGATGTAATTCTAGACATATTTCTAATCACAATCTGATTATATAATCACAAATATTCATATTCTGCCTCTCTACTAAGAGTAAAAATTGCAAGTACTTAACAGTTACTGATGTGGCAAATACTAAGATATTTGCTGACATCTAAATATGTTGACATCTAAAAAACTATACATATTTCAGATATTCACTGAGAAGTTATTTACTATGAAAGTATCATATGCAACCATGGTGGAAGATTAAAAAATATATAAAAATAATCCCTACCCCTGGGGAAATTATTAACTGATTGTGGAAATAAGAACCTAGACATCTAACTTTATTAGAAGACAAGAAATGGAAAGAGCTAAAAAAGAAGTGGCTCAGGGCTGAACAAAAATAATTCTAGCTGAGGGATCAGTTTCAAAGAAGCGGCACTTGAGACTGACTTTCAGATGCAGGAAAACCAAAAAAACACACAATATCAGAGAATATCAGAGAAAGACAAAAGATTCGAACATGACACACAAGCAAGAAAATAAAAGCAGAGCAACAGCTAGGACAGTGCTACCTCAGATGCGATGGCAAACAGAATTCGTGAAAAGGCGCTTGAAAATGCTTTTGAGAAAGGTATGGAAGGCCTTGAAATGTAGATCAAGGAGTTTTAGATTTCTTGTTGAGGAAAACTGAAAACCCCTGAAGGTGTTTACACAAGGGAGATACAGGAACAGAGATGTTCTAAGGACATTAACCACAACTCAAAGTTCTGGAAGGTCTTTCAAATGAGGATGTTTAAGGTAATTTGGAAAGATGTATCTATACTCAGTAATGAAGTCATAATTAAAGGGTAAAATTGTCAATTATTTGATAGAGGTGACAGATAAAGCTGTAAAGTGGATGTGATCATCAAACAAGAGATAATGGAAGACAAAGGAGGGCTGAGGGACAGAATTTTGGGGGAAGTTCACATTAAAAGGTAAGGGCAGTCAGTCAAAGTACGATTATTGATGTAGGAGTGCCTGAGAAGTAAAGAGAGAGTCAAGGAAAGATGGCTGCTGATACCAAGGATGGTTAAGACTCAACAGAGACCGAAATATATTTAACAAGTAGGTCATTTACTGGTGAGCTTCAAAAGAGAAGTTAAATATTGCAGAGATAAAGGTTTGGAAGATAAAACTGGAACTGTTATGATGTCCCAACCAAAATCTCACACCTTAACTCATTCCCTTGTTAGCCTCTAATACTCCTTCCTGACTCCCCTGTTTCTGTCCCACATTAGGAATAAATCAATGTGGTGAGGAAGCAGAGAAGGAAGGTGTCTTTCAGAAGTGATAGTAGGTGTTTAGAGAACGTGCAGATGAATTGAGTGCCTTCTAAATTTCATACTGAATTTGAATTTGATATTTTAAGTATTGCCTATTTATGCAGAAGATAACAGCTTCTAAAAAATTCATTGTTTTATTCTTGAGATGCCTAATCTACATGTTGTTGATCTTTGTGCCATAAGGCTACCACTATTAAAATCAGTTTTTGTCACTTCCCTGCTTAAAACCTTCAGTGGCTCCCCTATTATTTAGAATATATTCCAATTTCTTTACCAAGCCTGCAAGGCTCTACAGCACATGATCTGTCTCACCTTGTCCAATTTCATCTCCAACCAGTCAACCTCTTGCTCACTATGCTCCAGCCACACTGGCCTTTCCATTCTTCAAAAACTTTCTAGCTCCGCTGTTCACTTACTACAGCTGTTTCCAAGGCCACTGGATTACCTCCTTCTCATTCAGCTCCTATTATTTCCCCCTCTCCCCTGCCAGTCTTTCTTTCATTTGGCAAATATTTATTCAGTACCCACCAAACGACAGGAACTTTTTCAAAAGGCCTTAACACTTTGGCTACAACACTTAACAGACAAGATTCTTTCACTCTGGCAATCTTCTCTGACTACACAATTTAAAGATGGCATTCATGCTCCCCAGCCCAAAGGTGCAAATAGTTTCTGTTGTATTCTCTTTATCACCTTCACAACACTTATTATCAGATACTGTCTTCCTCATTTATTTACTCGTTTACTCGATGATCTGTTACCCTCGTCTTGTATCCCAAAATTGTGACTAAAAACGAGACAAGTAAGTGTTGACAGAATGAAATTGAATAAAAGCTATGTGAGGGAATCTGTGAGGGAGGAACTCAGTGCTATCAATTCTCAGGAGCCTTCTTCAACTCTTCTCCGGGCGGGGATGCGGGGTGGGGGGGTGGGCGTCGGAGGCCCAGGGTCAGAGAAGCGTTCTAGGCCACTGAGATGCCAGTGAAGCTCTGGAGCACAAGTCGGGGTGCAGAAAAGGATGGAAATGATTAGAAGAGAGGATTTTGCTCAGTTTGGGGGAAAGACAAAAGCTTCCGAACAACGGCTCTGAGCAATCTGACCGTCGGGGTCCTCTCTTCCTCATTCCCAGCCTGAGTCTCCTCAGAGGGCCTACAGCGCAGCGCACTCAGCTCTCAGCCGAATCGCAGAAGAGAAAAACGCGCAGTGGGAAAGGACTGGGGGCAGGGAAAAACAGCGAACTTCTTACCGCGGTCAGGACCCTGAAGTCATCCCGGCTCATGTAACGTAACTTGACCACATTCACTTTCCCCATGGCGGCCCGAGATCAAGCCAGGAAACTCCCTCACTACAGCTGGAGAGCACAAGGTAAGCGCGTACACTGGCCTCTCCGGAGCCTCACAGCAGGCGGGTGGCTTGCGCGTGCGCCGCTCCTCCGGGCAGGTCCTTGTTAATAAATAGAAGAACTCTTTTGTCTGGCTTGGGAAAATGAAAGTCTGGGTTTATGGTGCATGTAGAATGGGACAACGCAGAAATTTTTTTTTTGTAAGGGGATTTTTGTCATGTAAGTGAACGGATTTTGAGTGTCTATGATAAGTCATTTAGTTTTTCATATCTGTCAGGACTGGCTGCGTAGAGGACGCATTCCGCCTGTAAGAGCAGAACGGTAACAAATGGGAGGAGCAAATTTCATCCCCAACCAGCAACTCCTACTTCAGGCAAAGTGAGTTCCAACAAGAGACGGGGGTGAAATGAACCCAAGAGCGTCCAGATACACAAGGCGATTAAAAATAAAGGGGCGCCTGGGTGGCTCAGTGGGTTAAGCCTCTGCCTTTGGCTCAACCCATGATCTCAGGGTCCCGGGATGGAGCCCCACATCCGGCTCTCTGCTCAGCAGGGACCCTGCTTCCCCCTCTCTCTTTGCCTGCCTTTATGCCTACTTGTGATCTCTGTCAAGTAAATAAATAAAATCTTTAAAAAAATAAATAAAAACAGTAATCATACAGCTAGTCCCTTCCCTAACCGCTCCTGTTTAGAAAAGAGGAAGGCGTGGCTCAAGAGAGCTCTCTTGGCTTGGGTACAGGCTTTAGATTAGTTCTGACTCCGAATGCTCCTGCGCCAGGGCAAGGCGGCGGGAGGGGGCGTGGCGGCGGGGGTGTGGGGGCGTGGCGGCGGGAGGGGGCGTGGGCAGCGATGTGAGGGTCCACAGAGCCGTGGCTCTGTGAAAAGTGTGATGGCGTGGTTGCTTCTCCCCCGCATTTCCAGAGAAAAGCCGGCTAGTTTGAGGAGTTGGAAAGGAGGTACGAGGGCTGTTTATCAAAGACCAAGCCTGATTTTAGGGCTTTAGGAGAGCTACCCACACTGAACCTGGAACTCCTCTCCACGTCAAAAAAATGGTAACTGGGGCAACCCTTCAACAACTTGCTCCTCAGAGGGTGGATACTCTACCTTCCCTACAAAAGCAACAAGGGTAACAAAACTTGTGTGATAATGTTCGTGTTTCTGTCTTGTTTCATGAACTACGTTTTAAACCTTTAAAAGACAATTACCTGTTTTGGTACAGTCCTCACACGGTGGGTGTGGGTACTACATACAGTCACGGAAGATGGTGGCCTACTTCAGCCTTGACTTCACTTCCAGCGACTGCTGTTTAGCCTCTCTCTGGGTTGAGTCTCAAAACTTTAAGTGTAAACTTTGGAGTTCATTATTTACAGAGTACATTTTTTCCTGCTGGGCTTCTACTGGCCGGTGGGCCCATATTCCAACTCTCCAAGGCCCCACTGAGTATCTTGCTTTGTCCAAAAACAGTTAGCTTTATCATAAAACCTGACTGCAGTTCCAAGGCAAGCAATTGAACATGCCCTTTCTTTCCAAGTCAGAATAGTTAATGCTCTGAAACCGTAGAATACAAGCAGCAGAACCATCTTCTATCCCCTTTACATTACAACCTTTGGCTTCTTTTTCACACTTGAATGCAGTAAGCCTTTGATTAACCATGCTTAACTATTGGAAAGCTACACTGAAATGGACTTTTTCTTTCTGTACTTCACGTAAGACATAAAAATGAAAGTTTTTTTATGGAGCGAGAGTGAAATAGGAAACATAAGTCATTTGGCTGTCAATTACTAATCCAACATTCTAGCAGACATCGCTAATCTATTAAGGCACAAACCTTATGTTACTTCTAAACTGTGCGCCAGACAACCACCACTAATTGATGGGATTTGGCTACAGTTGTCCTGTTTCTGGAGCATTCCAGAATCGAGAATCACATTGACCCCAAATCTCTTCTACTTTCAATATTTATATTTATTTTTAATACAATTATCTTAATCAGACCCTTGAAGAGTAGAAGTGATTCAGGTATTATTCAGTATCCTGATTTACTTTGTCCTACCATGCTTAGTAATGACAGTCAAAAATTACACAGTATTTTTCATTCACTCATTTACTATTTATCAAAAATACATGCCAGATTTTTTGCTTGGTCCTGGGGAAAGAAACCTAACCCTTAAGTCTTGAGGTAGAAGGAGATGAATAGAAAATAGGAGAATAATAGGACAGAGGTGTGCAAAGGATTTAGCATATTATTATTACTCACTCCCAGACTCCCATCTCTCTCTCTCTCTCTCACACACACACACACAGTTTGTCCTCACATGTTGCAAGAGGATCTTGACCATCTGTAGATGGAAGTTCAAACTTCTTTTCTGAGATTAAATTAAACTTCTTAGGCTGACATTCAGGATCTTCAATAATCTTTATCATTGCTTACTTTCAAATAACATATGCTCTTGCCTAATTGAACAGCTCTTTTTTTTTTAACAGTTCAGCCAAGTACTGTTCCCTTGATTTCCTGTCTTATTGCCATTTCCCTTCATCTGTAATGCTTACCTTCCCACCTTTTTTTTCCTTCTTTCTAGTCACCACATATTTAAGTCTTACCTACTGTTCATAAAATACTATTCATCCCATAGCATTTTTCTTTATTATCCTTATGTTATTTTCCTAGGGTTGCTGTAACGAATAACCACAAATTTGGTGGTTTAAAACCATAGAAATTTAGTCTTTTACAGTTCTGGTCCATGCTCCTTCTGGAGGCTCCAAGGGACAATCAGTTTCTTTCCTCTTTCAGCTTCTATCAGCATTTGATGACTACTGACATTTCTTGGCTTGTGGTTGTATCACTCCATCTCTGCCTCTGGAGTCACATTGCCTTCTCCATTTCTATGTGTGTCTCTCTCTTTTTCTGTCTTATAAAAATGCATGTCTTTGCATTTGGTAGCACAAGGATTGGACTGTAGTGGACACTGTGATAAACCACCCAGCTGTCCCCCTCCAGGAATGAAGGACTTACTCCCCCCCACCCCCAGCTCCTGGAAGTACTGCCAGCAGAAAATGCTGAGTAGTCAGCTTCCACTGGGATTGTCTAGGTTGATGGAACTACCTCACTGAAGGTCATACTCCTTTCTGGGTTTGCCTGGATCCAGTGGCTGATTGACATAGACTTCTAAAGGCTCAAATTCTTTGCTACCTCAGCATAACTCGGCATAATCCAAAGGACCATGGGATCTTTCAAATTTCTTGTAGAGTCAACTGCAACCTCCCTTGGTATTGCACTGTAGTTCAACCTCTTCCTTTGTTTACTCCTTGTCTTTCGCCGTTCTCCTCCAGGGGTTGATCGTAATTAATACTCCTAATACAGTACAGGTCTGGTTCCTGAGGAACTCAACCTTTACCATTGCTTTCTTGGGCCCTCAGTGCAGTGTTAATAGGGCACTGCTATAAAAATGGGACAGGCTGGGGCGGCTGGGTGGCTCAGTTGGTTGAGCGACTGCCTTTGGCTCGGGTCATGATCCCGGACTTCTGGGATCGAGTCCCGCATCAGGCTCCCAGCTCCTTGGGGAGTCTGCTTCTCCCTCTGACCTTCTCCTCTCTCATGCTCTCTCTCACTCATTCTCTCACAAATAAATAAGTAAAATCTTAAAAAAAAAACCAAAAAACAAAAAACGGGACAGGCAGAATAAGACCAGCCAACTGAGGCTTAATTCTGCCACTAACTAGCTTTTTGATCTTAGGTACTCTCTTTAACTTTTCTTATTCATACAAGTTTTTATTTTGAATGTTTATTATACAACATATTTTGGTAAACAAAACCCAGTTCCTTTCCTCAAGGAGCTTATAGGTCTAATGATCCTTAGGTTGTTTATTTATATTATGAAAGGACTCAACTTGAATTGTGTTTCTAAACCTTTTGTAAATTTAAGTCTCCATCTCAAGCTCCATAATCTCCATTCCACTCAAGTTGAGAATCACTCTCTTCTGTATATCCCTAGGAACCAAGAATATTTGGTTAAGATTTATTTTATGAAAATAAGATTCTTTTATTTTGCAAATAGAAAATTATGTAATGTGATAATAGATATGCCTTGTATTCCCACGCCTTAGTGATTTTGATAGCACCTGAGGAACTACTGAACAATCACTTTGAGTTCAGTCAGGACAGAAACCAAATTTGTTATTTAAACATAGATGTTAATATTAAGACTCATGAATTTGGCATAAAGCTAAATAGAAAACTGAAAATGGGAAAGGAGAATACTGAGGCACCACAACTGCCACTACTAAGACTAGAGCAACTAAAATAAAACTGAAATGACTTGGAAGCTTAGGGGAAAGGCACCATCGACCTGAGACCCAGACCTCTGAGGAGGGGCATTGCCAGGTTGGTGATGATAGTTCAAGAGCAGGAAGACTTGATAAGACTAGTTTGGCAAGTTTGGAACAACTGCAAACTAGATTCAGGTGTTGCTATGGAAAGATGCTGCTGGGTTGAATAAGTGTTGGGACAATCCTAACAAAAATGAAATACCTAGGAAGCCTGGAGGAAGCAAACAGGAAGCAGGGATTATTCCTCCTTTAGGATTAATTAATTCTTCCTCCTTTATGATTGCTTTTCCTAAGAGTGCAGCGTGGAGCTAGCTGGCAAAGCAGAAATGTGGCTTACAAGGTTCCAGCTCTTGTGCCAGAAAGTGGGGTTAGAGGTCTGGGTTTTGAAACTTAGAGACAATAGCTTAATAACTGGCACAATCTCTAAAAGATTTTTGAGATTTAATATTCTACTTGTCTGCCTTATAGACCTGCACTGAGTAATTATCAAGTGAGATTTTTATGGTTTGTCTTTTTTTGGTGCGTTTTCTTTTTATGTACCTTGATTTAGAGAATAAATAACTTGTTTCAGATTTTTGTTCTTCTACTTTATTGCTTTACTTGAATTAATGGATGTATCAGTTTTAGTCCGTTGTTGTTGTTGTTGATCTTGTTATTTTATTGTTTACAAGAATCAAAAGTCATCTCATTATTCTGTTACATACTTTTAATAAATAAGGGC